TCAGATAGGCTCTGTCTGCTGGCAGCAAGGAGAGGCGCAACTTCTTTAAGAGGTTTCTTGGCTCAGCTTTAGTGGCAAAAACTGCAGGGCTTCTTTAAGGGAAGGTTTGCTGGTTTGTGCTAGCAACATGAACTCTGGCTCTTTTGGGAGTTCCTGCACTTAAATGGGGTGTGTGAGCAGTGTGCTACTAGCTGCTCAATGGCGATATAAACCCACTGCATCCCCAGAGCTGAGGTGGCGAGCATGGCTCACAGACCTGGTGGTGAACGTACCTTCACCGTACCTCCACCATGCTGGACTGGGCTTTCTTTGGTCCTAGCCACACCTGCTTAGCATTAAAAAAAAAAGGTGCTCCTGGTCAGAAAAAAAAAAAAAAAACCTGGCTTACAGATATGACTAAAGACAGATTCAGGCAGAAATAAACCTCTGAATGGGGTATAGTATGTTTAAAAAATGTGCATAGGCTTGGGATAGAGAAGAAAAAAGAGTACAGACAGTTATAAAAAATAAATAAATAGTTTTAAAAAATAAAGCAAAGTCTTTAAAAAGACAGTCAGTCATAGATTAAAGGACTAAAGAAAAAACAGGACTAAAGAACAATAAGTCACATAAAGATGGAATATAAACAGAGAGTCTGGATTATGTATATTATTGTGTTTTCTTTGAATTTTTTGACTGCAGAGAGACATTTGATCCTGGGGACTGCTAAGTTAAGCCAACATCAAGGTATCTTGACTTCAAAATTTGGGTCTAAGGATATGCTGCTTTGGAAAAGAGGTCCTGTTTTTGTTTCTACAGAAGATGAGAACTTGTGGATTCCTTCCAGGCTAATGTGGTTTGATGGAACAAGATTCCTCCCCCCTCATCAAAGGTCTCCATGAACCCTAAAAATACTTTGCCCAAAAGTCAGCAGGAAGTAGTCTCCAAAATTACACCCAAATCCCAAAATAACTGTTTATAAATGTTTATTTTCATTTTAAAAGGGATAGTTATATTAATTGTCACAGTCAATTTCTAAAAACAAAATAAGGGGGAGATGATATAGAGATGAATACTTTGCACTGGCATGAATCTTGGTCTACTGATACAAATTTAAGGTCAATTTGTTACACTGTACATATGTATTTTTGCCCGTTTAAGGTATTGTGTTTGTGTTCTTCATTTTAAAACATATAGTTATGAAATACAGATTAACAGATAGTCTTCTATAATAAACTTTTAGTCATGTTAGTTAGGTTTTCTAGATATATGTTAGATAACCTTCAACATTTCAAAGAGCTACAGAATATGGTATTTAAAATGTTTTAAGAACTTGGACTTTTTTCAACAACGAGACATGTCTGCTTCTAGCAGCACCAATTACTTCAAAGGGGTTGATGGGCACTGAAGAAACTCATTATGGAATTTGTCTTCAATGTGACAAGGCTGGGCATTTGGGCAAGAAACTGCTCTTGCCTGGACTGCTTAATGTTATGCTGTATGAACTGGGCATGTTCACAGAAAATTGACTGCTGGACTTGCCTAAAGAAGGTGAGTCAGTCCTTTAGGGTTCCTGCTTCATGAAAGAACTGTCAGACATTCTGTAGGACACAGAAGAAAGCAACTGATAAACTTTGCCAGTACAAGGCAGAACAGATCTTCAAATTTCCTGCTTCATGGAAAAGTCTGCCAGATACTATGGGTCTGTAGGTTGAAGATGGATGCCCCAAGGTTACAGAAGAACTTTGGGTGACTGTCCAGGCAGTGAGATGTCTCTGTCAATTCTAGAGTTTTGGAGGTTGCTTCCAAGACACTTCCCATTTACTTAGGTAATATATATTTCTGAGGTCTTTGAAGATTTGAAGACATACAGTTTTTCTTAGCTGTGATAAAACATAAATTAGATATGAAACTTTAGATTTACAAAGAAATATTGTAATGGTAATTCCTGCTTGATACTTATATGTAATTTTACTGTGTTAAAGATAAAACCTTCTTTTTTAACTAGACAGAAAAGGGGAGATGATGTCAGATTCCCCTCTGTATGCTGTGAATGTTTTATTACCATTGGCTAATGAATAAAGCTGTTTCAGACAATATCTTAGCAGAGCAAAGCCAGGCAGGAAATCCAAAAAGAGATATAGAAAGTAAGCAGGGTCAAGGAGACACCATATAGCTGCAGAACGAGACAGATGCTGGAATCTTACCCCATAAGCCATACCCTTGGGGTGATACAGAGAATAATAGAAATGGGCTAATTTAAGGGTAAGAGTTAGTCATTAAGAAATTTGAGCTAACAGGCCAGTGTTGTAATTAATATTGTTTCTGTCTGAAACTATATTCAGGTCTGAGCAGTCAGGAAACAAACAAGCAGTCTCTGTTTACACTGCCCAAAGGACTGTAAGGGGTATTTTATAGTTGTTAATAAGCACAGAGTCTGCAGCACAAATCTGAACCTCACTACCCCAAGGCAGGTTAGTGCCATGAAACCAGTCTCGACAGATACTGGCAAGTCTCAGCGTTCCAGGTCCCTCACAAGTTCAGGGGTTCTGATGTTCAAATCACCGATCAACTCTCAGAACTCCAGAGAATATTGCAATTCCATTCAATTTCCTTATAAAAGACATACATTCATACCAGACAATACAAGGCTACGGGTAGGTTTGGGAGGGTTGTGAGGCACTCCTACTTATTTAGGAAATTTTAAGAATTTAGAGGCTCCCTGACACTGAGGATAAAGACTAATCTAATTCCTTATTACACAAGAATTCTTACTGAGAATTCTGACTTGTTTGGCTTACCCATAGGTTAAATCTTACTAACATAATTTACAGCTTTTGGGTACATTCTGCTGTTATTTTTCTGTATTAAGCCAAAAGGGACACAACAGTAAAAGTCTCAATTTTTCAGTATGTCTTTGGTTACTCTGAAACATACTTACTGTCCATGTAAGACAAAGGCATGCAACACAGCTGAAGAAATAATCTATATCCACATCTAGGTTAAAACAAGTAGATCTACATGTAAATGTCCCAATGATCCTGGCGTATGTCATATATATTCTTTACTTAATAAATGGTTCTGTCTTTATCAGATAGGGCTATCAGTAACTTTTCTTCCAATTCTGGAGGCTGAAGTTCAAAATCTGCTGAAGGCTGAAGTTCTGGCTTCAGACGGTTGGTTTACTGCCCCTTCATGTGACGAAACAAGGGAAGGCTTTCTGAGGCCTCTTAACAAGGATGGCAGCGCCATTTGTGAGTGTTGTCTCTATAGTTCAAACGTTTCCCTAAGGCACACCCCCTAGACCACTACTAGGAGTTAGGTGCTAACTGGGGAGAGGACAAACTCCAGCCCAGCGCTCCTCATGTCAATGTGGGCACTTACACATTCACAGTGGAGCACAAGGGACTGAGCACACTTTGGAGAATGGAAACAGGCGCTGAAACCCGCGCTAGGCACCGCAGCAGTGTGAGCTAGAGCTACCGAGTACTCCATCAGCCTTCGCTGCTGTGGAAATGCGAGCAAGAACAATTCCACCCACTTAGGTGACACAAAAATATTGACCAGGGTCTAACTACACGTAATAGTCCTCCCTGGCACCTGATACAATTGTATTTTTAATTCTTTTAACTCAATGGTTGGAATGAAATAATGTCATGAAAGGTATTAGAAAGCCTGGCTCAAAATATACATTGAATATTGTCTTCTTAACAAAATTTGTTCTGTTATTTTAGACTGTTCATTCATATACATGAGGCGACGGTTATCCTCATCTGATGCGGGAAGAAGGAAAGGCAGTGCCATGGTAGAAAATGACAAGTGGTGACCTTTAAATAATGCTGGACTTTTAAAATCCAGGCAGGGATGCTAAGCTGGCATCAGGAAAGAGTCTATCCGAGGAAGGTAAGAGGGCAGAAGGATGCCCGGATAAGGCAGGATGACTGTTTATCAAGGATCAGGAAAGCTAGTGACCCTGAAGCACAAACACCATCTCAGCAGCTCAAGATGGCACAATGAAGTGCAGATTCCCATTGAGGATAAGAACTATAAAACCACCGCCACAGTACTGGTGAATAAAATTCAAGCACAACTCCTTACCTGAGACACTTCCATGATTGGAGGCTCTGCCGAATCCACACAGCAAAAGAGAGGTTAAGCATCCATTTGGATATGATAGAATTTAAGAATAATCATAAAAAATATGTCACCAACAGCATAAACACTAAGGGTTTTAATCATATTGATTATGCTGAAAATGAAGGGTAACAGCTTTTATACACACATGCACTTATGTGTAAATGTGAGTTCACGCGTGGGCACGTGCGCGCACGTGCGCGCACGCACACACACACACACATACACAGTGAGCAGATGCTTATAGTAATGACAAAAATCAATACTGAAAGGCACTAAACCTGACTTGAAACTACGCAAGTAATATGGCTATATCTGAATCTCTATGTAGCCTATATTCACCTGTAAAAATCCTAACTCCCTACTGGCAGCATTAGGAGATTGAGCCATGAGGGTAGAGACCTCATGATGGGATTAGCACTAAACACCTGAGGACACAGTAAGAAGATGCCATCTAGAAAGTGGGAGGCAGTCCTGCAGGTTTGCTAGCATCTTGAGTGTGAACTTCCTAGCATCTAGAACTGCCAGGAAGAAACCTCAGTGAACCTAAGTTATCCAGACTATGAAATTATATTAGAGTCTAAGAAAAAAAAATGTTGTCTGGGTCTGCCAAATATACCCAGGCTTAAGTGCAACCCACTTCATCTCCACCATTCAAAGAAAATTTTATCCTTATACAAAGAATAGGATTTTTTAAAACATGTTAACGTCTGCCCTGCACTTAAAACATCCAAACTAAAGGCCCACATCGTGGCACACTGTAATTCTAGTGTACTTCCTTTAAGCACTTTACCCTGTGCATACAGACAAGGATGCTCTCAAAAATATTTTTACATTGTGAGTAAAAACTCAAGTTTTAAAGAGCATGTTAAGCCTTCCCAACTCCATTTTCTTCAATAACAAATTTTATTAAAACAGTATTAAAAAAATCACAGGATAATTTTATTTATAAATGAATTCTATTTTCTCTAGACTTTAAATCATCGGTTCACTCTTATAACAGAGAAGCAATTTAAATAACACCACCAAAACGGAATGGAGACGAAACAGTGCGCTGCTACACAGCGCTGTGCTGCACGCTGGAAGAATTTCCAATCAGTCTTGCAACACGGTCCATTTCCAGTGAAATGCGCAGGACACTGCCAGCAAGCGCTTTCCTTCATACAGATTTTACTGAAACATGTCCTGGGCGCGGCTCTGGACTGTTTCGGAGCTGGTCAAGCTTGTGTTTTGCAGAGGCTGACATCACAAACCGCTGCCTGCTCACACAACAGCAGTCTTCAGATCCTTTGGTTTTTATCCCAATCCTTTGGAAACTGATTAATGATTTCTCCCTTAGGATTCTATTTTAAGTAGGCTACCTCAGTGCCTACACAGTCTGTGCCAACGTCCTTGACTTTTTCATATCCATGGCTTTGTTCATCAGATTGTACACTGATGGTAATCTTATTTTATCCATATTTTTGCTGTAAACATTGAGAAATATGCCAAGGACAACTAACAAGCCAGACCATACATACCTAAAAGAAATGAAAAATTAGATATTAAAATTAACAAGGTAACTCTTCATTGCTAATTATGACATGTGGTAGTCAGTCCACAATAATTTCAATCAAATAAAAACTTGCTCTTAGCTGGGCAGTAGTGGTGCATGCCTTTACTCCCAGCATTTGGGAGGCAGAGGCAGGAAGATCTCAATTTGAGGCCAGTCTGTTCTACAGAGTTCCAGGACAGTCAGGGCTACACAGATAAACCCTGTTTCAAAACAAAACATAACAAAACAAGCAAAAGCAAAATGAACAAATAAAAAAGAAAATAAAAAAACTAACCAAACACAAAACTTACTATTAGAGATCTAAAATAATAGTACAGAATCACATGTAAATGGAACAGAGAGGGGCTCACAAAGCCTGCCCTGGTCTGCTTTCCACGATTATGTACAATAAAGACCATGACCAAAAAAACTGAGGAAGAATGGTTTTCTTTGGCTTACATATCCTGAGTCCCATTCCACAGAGGGAAATCAAGGCAACACTCAAAGCAGGACTGTAGCAGACCATCAAGGAACACTGTTTACCTGCTTGCTCCTCTTGGTTGGCACAGTTTGCTTTCTCATCCATCTCATCCACCCCAGGACCATCTGTCCGGGGATGGTACTGCCCAGTGTGTTAGCCCTCGCACATCAATTATCAGTCAAGAAAATGCCCTACAGGCTTAACGACAGGCTAACTGGATGGAGCTATTTTCTCAATTTAAATTCCCTCTGGTAAGCTGACTTTAGATTGTGTCCAGTTGACAAAAATATAAGCAGTCAAAAGTCCCACCGCTGGCTAAGACATTGAAAATTGAAGGATGCCGAGGAAGAGAGTGTCAGTTTTCTTCAGGGATCTAGTTCCAGGTAGGTTGCTTGCGCTCCCATGGATGGCTCTATACCCATGTACGTAACAGCAGCACCAAGTAGACTCAATGGTTAACAAAGAGGGTACATGAAGTTGGGATAGAAGTGGGGCTGGGGTGGAGTAGGAGATGGATTTGAGCAAAACAAACTGTCTACATATATAAAGCCTCAAAAAAATTTTATGCTGAATATATACATAAAAGTTACACAAAGTGAGACTAATTTAAACTTGAGGGCTCTTAATTAGCACATTCAAAAGTACAACCTTACCAAAAGACTTAAGATTGTACTTTAAATGCCAGAGTCCTATTTATCAAAGGCTATATTATATTCAACCCTGCACTCTGCCTAGTTGTCCCAGGGAAGTAGAACACAGACGATAAAAAGGGACACATTCTGTAGGAAGCAGAGAATCATCTTTTTGGAGGGGGGGATTTTGAGACAAGGTTTCTCTGTGTAACAATCTTGGCTGCCCTGAACTCCTTATCAAAGGCTATATCGCCTTGAACAAAAACCCCCCCCCCCCCCCCCCCCCCCGGGGGGCTGGGATTAAAGGTGTCTGCTGGGATTAAAGGCGTGTGCCACCACCACCCGGCCTGGATCATCATAATTTAATTACTATAATATACTATCACAGGCATAAAGAACAGTAATCTATAGACAACAAATGACCTGTAGTACACTGGTGGAAATTTACAATATTATTTAAAATTATGTATTTGTAAACTAGTTTTGAAATCCCATTTACTGACCTATAATGTTTTAACAAACTGCTTTTAAACAGAGATAGCAAAGACTGTTGACCACTTTCACAAAGAGCCACAAACTAAGTCATTAGGATACAATTTACAGAATACTTTTCCATTGTTTATTGTTGTGTAAAGCAGCCATAAACAAAGGCTTCACAAGAAAAAAATTTTAAACATATAAATTATATATTTGTATGGGAGAAAGAAAATCCTTTACTTAACACATGCACACCACTGTACTCACCCCCATCAGAAACATGCACCAACACACAGTGACACTGGAGCACACATTCTTAACAGTCACTCACACTGGAGCACACACTCACTCATTCCTCACACTGGCTTCCACACTCCTAACAGTCACTCACACTGGCTTCCA